AAGACTGGCTGATGCCCGGCCCAGCATTGCATACCTTTAATCCCAGTATCAAGAAGGCCAAGGCAGGAGAATTGAGAGTTCAAGCCCAGTGTGCACAACCTAGGAGCTTAGGGAGACTGTCTGAAAATAAAAATACATAAGAAGGGTTTGGGAGAAAGCTCTGTTCGAATGCTCTGGATTCAATCCCGAGCACTGTCAAAAAAAAAAAAAAAAAAAAAAGCATATTTGTTTCTTAAATTAGAATGTACCTTTCTTAAATGTAAGCTTATATGTACATTTATATTTCTTAAATTGAAATGCAGTTTAATTTTTGAATATATTTAAAATTTTTTTGATTCTCAACTTTGTATTTTTTCTACAGAGATCAAGTATCAGACTTGACTCAGTCACCTCAGTAAAGGAAGATTCTACTGTATTTATACACTTTTAAGAAATAATTCTCTCTTTTCAGCACTGGGAATTAAACACAAGGTGCTGCACAGGGTAACTAACTCCTTCCTGCTCCACCTCCCTAGATCATTTTACTTTCTGTTTTGAGACAAGGCCTTGCTGAGCTGCCTGCGCTGTGCTCTCACGTCAGCCCTGCCGCTGAAGTCACATGTGTGTGCCTCAGCAGCCAGTTCAAAGAAAGTATGTTTAAAGAGATAAAGCAAATCTGAAATAAGAAAACTAATGCAAAAAGCTAAATGAGGGTACAAAAGGAAAGTGTGTACAGGTTACTATTAAAAGAGAAGCATCATATTATATATTATACTTTGTAAGGGTAAATCTGTTTCCTAGGTATCAATATAATAATACAAACAGGATAGTCAATTTATCCTAGAGCTTAAAAGCAAACCTGAAGGTTTAGTAAACAATATATTTTAGTAAGTAAGGAAAAAAGTCTAAAATCAAAACAAAACAATACTCAGGAAGAATAGACATAGTTAAACATAATATAAAGCCTAGAAAAAACTTTCTCTAGTAGATAACCACAGGTTATTTATAAGGTAACCAGGACTGTGTTTTGATGAAGTATATATGAAATACATACATACAAATTTTATCTCTGAGTTGATATTTATTTATTGGCACCAGGAATCAAACTCATGACCTCGTGCTTGCCGGGCAGGCACTATGCTACTGAGTTATATTCTTGGCCCTAAATTGATATATTTTTAAATGAATGACATGGCAAAATGCAAATCAGTACAAACAACTGTATTGAGCAAAGATCTCTTATCCAATATTTCCATATTCTGGTATACATTAATATACATTTACCCAAAATTAGATTTTAGAACAGTGTAATCCAATCACTCTTAAAGTGTTTTGGGGTTAACATTATCACTTTGAAAGTCTGATAAAAGTGATGAAAACCTAAACAATTCTCCCAAATCTTAATGAGAATTTCTGAGATGACTCGCAAATTAAGTTAAATGCAGAGCCATGATTTGTGGAGCAGGATTTGCCTCTTTCCTTGCGCATGTGGTGTTTAAACCCAATTCTTTCCACTACATGCCCAGGTCTTTTTCTTATTTTAAAACAGAGTCTTGCTAAATCACCAAATGGCCCAGGCTGAGCTTGAACTTCGATCTTCTTGCCACAGCTTCCTGAAGTAACGAGATTACAAATATGCTACCACGCCTGACTTCACCTCCTTTCTTGAAAACTGATCTTAATAAAGGTACATGTCTTACGGCTGGAGATTTAGCTCAGTGGCATAGCACCTGCCTGGCAAGCACAAGGTCGCAAGTTCAATCCCTGGCACCCACCCCAAAATAAAGATACATATCTCAAATGGACATCATGTGAGTTGGGACCCGATGGAGTACCTATATAAAACTAGAATTTCCTTGGAGAACAATTTGAATGCATTCTCAACATGAAGAAGGACAACCAGAAATCTCATGCCATAGACTATGATTGAAAGAATTTTAACCTAGCCAATATTTTAGGTATGCCTTCATCATTAAATAAATTCAACTTATTTTAGCATCTAATAAATAAAACACAGTGTTTAAGCAGTATAAATTCTGATAATGTGTTAATTACTCTCAATTGTTCACTTATCTGTACCTACATCACTACCACAGCCTAGGTAATGAGTACATCTCTGTCTTTTGACTTTAAGTTTGGTTATGTGCCTTGTTTTAAGGAAGTAAGTAGGTACAACAAGAGCAAAGGCTTAAATGTGTGTAACTGGGCTTACCTTCTAGGACTTCTGCCTTTTGTCAAGAAAAGAGTATCTCTCAGACAGCTAGTGGCCCACAGGAGATGAGTACCATATGCATCAGATCTGGACTCAAGAAACAGCTTGGAACCAAGCCCAGGCTGGCTCGACCTCAACAGACTAAATCCTAACCCCATATATGAGCAAGAAATAAAGGCTGAGGTTTCTATGAGCCCTGGGATGATTTCTTATGTAGCATTACTATGGGAATTACTAACAGATACAGTAGATACAAAGCAGCAAAACACAAACATCAATAACTAAATTGCTATGTGCACTACTGACTGTAAATCATTTGGGGGCTTACATAAAAAGTGTGAAATTTTTTCCCCTTGAAAGATGGAAATAGCAAACCAAAGCAGGAATTCCTATTCACTTTGACTATGTTACCGACAGTTTTACTATGCTTCGGATTGTTTTCCATCTATAAATGTACCATCTATAACTGTTTTTCCACTTACCAGATTTATGTTCTCTAATAGCTCAGTGCTGTACCAAACCCAGGGAAAAAGGTGTTATAACTCCTGGTAGGCACTTAACTCTGAAATTGTTTAGAGTTGCTGATGCATGCTAATAAAAAGGAGACTGTTTTAATTGGCTTGCCACTAACTTTTGATTCTCTCAATATGATATGTCTCCCATTGCCTGAACCTGGGATATACTGCTCCCACTACCCTATTCCCTTTAGTGAGCCACAAAACAACTCATTATTGTTTAGAATGAAAAATTCATTTGGTTCTGAAAGCCCTGTAATGCTTTCATTCTCTTCAATGGTTTTTTATTGTTTTGTAACGTTTGATATTATCGTGTATGAAGCTATGCTCAATTATTTCAAAGAGATTATGGTAGTTACTGTTAATTATAGGTTGTTTTGTGGTAAAATGCTGTTACTTGCATTGATCTGATCTGATCTGCTTTGTTATGTCCTCTTTTGTCTTAATCTCTTTAAAAATAAAAAATTTATAAAAACTAAAAAAAGATTGAAAAGTTCAAAAATGGAATTCTAAAAAAAATAACAAACAAAACACTTATTAAATATAAGTAGTACAGAAAATCATCCATTTACTTTATTAACATTAAAAGCTTTATGAAAGTTAGTGACAGCTGGCTCTAATAGCATATGCCTATAACCCTAGCACTCTGGAATGCTCAGGTAGGAGGATAACAAGTTCAGGCCCAACCTGAGCAATTTAATGAGACCCTGCCTAAAGGTAAAACAAGGGTGTGAGGGCTTATTTTATAGGATTTTCCTTTCTTGGGATATGTTAAGGTCTTTGTTGCTGTTACAAGTAAGGTCTCTTTTGAATTAAAAAACATTTTTTTCCAGGAGAAAAAGTAGGTTAAAGAAAACTTGCTTACATACTGACTTTATATCCCTGTGTTTTGGTGAATGTTATTACTTATTACTTACTAATTTACTTTGTTTTGTTATGTTGACATTCACATAATCTAATAGCAATTTTTTTTCCTTCTCTTTTCAAAGTGTTTTAACCTATTGTTTCTTTTTGTATTTTATGTTGTTAATCAGAACTTCCAAAAAAGGTTGACTAGGACATATAGTGTGCATTTGTCTTACTTCTGAATTTATGATGTTATACCTTTCAGTTATCTTTCTTGTTAAAGAAAGTGTCTGTTCATAGCTTGAAGAGTTCAGTATTTTAAAAATTACCAATAAATAATGAATTAAAAAATAAATACAAATAAAATAGAACAAGGGCTAGGGATATAGCTCAATGTGAAACCTCTAGGTTCAATCCCAGGATATTTCCCTGAAAAATTGATCACAATGGTAAAAGTACTATAATCTAATTGACATCATAACAGAAAATTATCTCAAATGTAAAACTATTCAACTGAGCAAGAACTTATTCAGTCTTTAAATTCATTAAGACCAAATGAATTATTTAGCCTTAAAATTCCATTTTCAATGTATTCTTTCTCTACTTGTCTGATTTTATAAAGACATAAATAACCAGTTTGGTTTTGCTGAGGGCCAATGAAAAATAAGGGTACTGATCAGAGTATTCTTGGGTTTCTTCTCAAACCAATTAACATAGGTAATAAAGACCACAAGGATAATGTAAGTCTAATTCATTATCAGTATTTGAATAATTCAGTAGGGTGAAATATTTGAATTGCTCAAAAGATGTTACCCCAGCCCCCATTATTTCAATATTGAACACAATTTTAAAATCAAAAGAAAAAGCAGCTCTTTAATAACTTTTTAAAGTTTTGAAAATATCAACCTTTCAATTTAAGAACATTTAGGACTACTTTAATTGGAAGAGGTACCTAAGATGAAACTCTTTAAATATATACTTTGTCTTGTATAGAAAATTTATAGTTATTTATAATATGATTTTTTTTTGATACCAGAGATCAAACTCACGACCTCATATTTGCTAAGCAGGCACTTATGCTGCTGAGCTAAACCCCCAGCCCGTATAATACATATTTTATCATGAATACATTATTGCTGATTTGGTTGCACATAATTAACAAACCCTGAGCCATAAATACGAATATAAAATAATTAGCAATTCAATTAACTCAAATGAGTATTTTAAGCATATTTTTAAAGTCTTTGATTAAGCACAATACAGTCACTTTTTTTTCTTTTTGTCTTTTTGAGACAGGGTCTGACTGTGCAGTTCAGGCTGGCCGTGGGCTCTCTTTGTAGCCCAGGTTGGTCTTGAACTTGCAAAGATCCTATTGCCTCAGTCTCTCAAGTGCTAGGATTATAGGAGTGCACCACACCTAATACACTTACTTTTAAGACTTTACATACCTGATGTTCCAAAAGCAACATCCCAGGGGGAACTAATAGGTTGCTCTTCTCCTTTTGCTCCTCCTTCTTTATCTGTACCTTGAATTCCAATGCCAGCTACAGTGCTCACCTTCTCAGCTATTAGGTCAATCTATAAAAATTTAAGTGATGTATTATGCAATGCTTATTATTTTTTGTCCTGTAGTTTGTGAAGATTTCCAATAGAAGCTACAGACAGTATTTGCAACAAATGTTTTTAAAAGGTTGATAGGGACCTTGTAATGCAGGCTCACACAATCAATTCTTTTCATTTCTCCACCTGTCTATTCCCCTTTCCTCCTTTTTCCCCCCATTCCAATCATGCCTTTACCAGAACTAGTGCAAGACTCATTTTAACTATAAAATATTTTTTAAAAAAGTGAAATTTAAAAACATGATCTAGGAAAATGCATGTTTCTTAAAATTAAATATACATATTTCAGTTATACTTTGCTAGTAATTAATACATAAAGAACTGAGTAAGTGTTCCACCCAGCTCAGGAGTAAGCCAGACAACCAGTCATCCGCATACTAAACCAACAACTGTGATCCTGATTATTTTAGAGGTAGATGAGACACAGACTGTTAAGTGACTTTCCCAAGATCCTACACAGATTTTTGGATCTGGGATTTGAGTACAGGTAATTCTATGTCACTATATTAACTTTATTTCATAAACTGAGAAACTACTGTAATATATTCCACTGAAAGAGATGCTGTTTTCATCTCTTTAGACCTGCTTCTCAAAATTTTACCATGCAAATGCACCACATACAGCTAAACTAAAAGGAGTATGCAGCTAACATCCATATACCCACCAACTGATAGGATTCTACTGTCAACATTTCACTTACTTTATCCACCAGACAATTCTTTACTCATCTTTGATGCATTTCAAAGTAAACTGTAAATATCAGTATCATCGTCATTAAACAATCAGCATACCATTATTTTGTTTGTATTTTTGGTTTTTTTCCCGAGAGGGGGCCTTGTTATGTTACCCAGCCTGATATAGAGTTCCTGGTTTCAAGTCATGGTCCTGCCTCAGCCTCCCTGGTAACAGGACCACTGGCATAAACCACCATGCCTTGGCTTACCACTGTGGTTTTAACCTGTTTTTTGTTATTTCAGGATGTTGAACACTTTATGTTTTTTGTGGCTGTTTTTGTATATTGTACCACATTGTCTTGATTAATGTAGCAATATAGGAAATTTTCAAATCAAATAGTGTATGTCTTTTAAGTCTGTTCTTTTTTAAGATTATTTTAGATACTATATATAAATACTTTTATTTTGCATTTCCATGTACATTTTAGAATCAATTTATAAATGTTTTTCAAAAAAGCCTGATGGAGTTTTGATTGGGATTATACTGGTTTCAATTCGAAGTGAACTCAAAGCTTAACATTGTGCCTTTAATATTAATTTTATTTAATATATTTATATTAATATCTAACACAATTAATTTTCCTCAACAATCTTCTGTAATTTGAAATGTTTCATTGAAGATAGCAAGAGGCATTATGGTAACCATTGTTGATCACCTTGTATTTTGCTTTTTACATTATCTATTACGTCCATCCTTTTGATTTGACTCTATTCTGTTATGTCACATTTGGTTTTACTCTCTTCAAAAAAAAAGTAATAAGCACTGTGGGAGTAATAAAACTCAGAATGTGTAATTGTCATTGTACAAAAGAGAGGAAAAGAAAGTGCTCTAAAGGATATAACTGCATATATATTTAAGTGTATGAGATAGATAACCATATTACTGAGTTTTGTTGGATCATTGAACAAAACTGTTTGCAGTCTCACTGTTTGAAAGTCCACTTTATATGCTTTAATTTTGTAACTTGAACAACTATTTCTAAGATAACAATATGTAATCTATTAACTAGTGATTTCCTACTGTTTATTCTTTCTGAAATTCTGTATAACTTGTACCCTTTTTCTGTTTTTTTTTTCTTTTTCTCCTTAAATTAAAAAAAAAAAAAAGAAAGAAATACTTCAGTATTCATGATGGATTGGTTCTGGGACAGTCTAATGTGACACAAAAAGATACTATCTTATTTAAGTCTTTATATAAAAAGACATAGTATTTAAATATAACCTATATCCATACTTCTGTAGGTGTACTTTAAATCAGGACTAGCTTATGATTATTTATATCTAATACAATGCAAATCTAGGTATATGTTTGTTATGATATATTTTTGATCTATGGTTTGATCTATGAATTCACAGATGTGGAACCTTTAAGTAGAAAGAGCAGACTATAGACAGGTCTTGCATGTATTTTATAAAATTTGTTCTACATAGTATACATTTTTGTTGATAATACAGATAGTTTTTACATTCCAATTTCTAAATGATTATTAGTAGTGCATAATTGTTACAGTTTGTGTTTGGACGTCCCCGACTCCCTACCAAGGAATGTTTACATAAGAAACATTCGAACACAAATGGGTAAGTTGGTAATAAAGTCATGAAAATGCAAAGGACCACACAAAGCCAAAACAGTCTTGGCAAAAAAAAAAAACAGTCGTATGCCTGGTTTTGTTAGTGTGATAAATTACATTGTATATTTTTCTGCAGTTGAGCTCTTTTTATTCCTAAAATAAATCTTATGTAATCATTAGTTTTTTTGGAAACTCAAGTTGGATTTGATTATCCAAAATTATATTTAATATTTTAAAATTCATGCATGTGAATTAAATGGCTCTAATTTCTTCTACTCTTAATCTCAGTTTACAATCAAGGTCACACTAACCTTATCAAATCCAACTTGAATTTCCAAAAAACTACATATCAGTCATGGAGAAGCCTAATCTTTTGTTTCTTTTTTGAAAATTTTGTATAAATTTTCATAAGATTAGATGGTTTCTTCTGTGTGCCTTTTTTGTTTTGTTTTGCTTTACCCATTTTTGAGGTTCATTTAAAAAGTAACATGCTAGTACTTTGGGTCTTTTGTATTGTTGGGTAGCATTCTATTGTGTGGGTATGCCACATTTGTCTACCAGTTGATGAACATTTTAGATTTGGTGTTGTTTTAAAGTTTTGCTTTTGTTTTGGAGTCTCACTGTATAGTCCAAGCTGGCCTTGAACTTACGGTGTAGTCCAGACTGGCCTCAAACTTACACCAGTCCTGCTGCCTCAGCCTTTCATCTCTAAGTCTTTCATTCATTTTAAGTTGGTTTTTGGGTATGGTATGTCTTAGAAGTCCATGTCATCCTTTAGTTAGTATGTGCGAATCTAGTTATCCCAGAGCCAATTATTAGGAAGACTGTTCTGCCTCTTTTTTGTCTTGGCAAGCTTGTTGAAATCACTTTGTCTTAGATGTATGAGTTTATTTCTGGACTTCTGCCCTTCTTTCATTGACCTGTATGTCTGTATATTAGCCAGTACTACACTTTTTTGATTACTGTACCTTTTAATAAGTCTTTAAACCTAAAAGTATGAGTCTTCTTACAAAAAGCACTAGGCCCAGTTGATGTTACAAGAGACTTCAAACAAATGCTCAAAAACCAAGAATTGTTGTTAGGCAAATTATAAAACAGTCTCCATGACTGATTATGACAGTTCTTTATTGAGGGATAAAACATTCTAAAAATTTATGAATATGTTCATAAAAACTGTTAAATCTACAAAAAATTAATAAATTATACTTTCATGGCTAACCATTATGATACACCAAAACCGTCACTTAAGACTGCCATGTATACAAAACACTATATTACAAGTCACAAAGACATGCATTAAACTTAGCAGAGTGGTTGCCTATAGGTTTGGGTACATAAGGGGAATGGCAGTGGGTGTGGAGAAAGGTGATGCAGGGAATTTGTAAGTTAATAAATTCTAAACAAGGAAGAATTGAATAGAGTGATGCATTTGTGCATATGAATACAGAAGCAAGATCAGCTCAGTTCTCTGCAAATGAGATCTTAAACAAAAACAAAATACAAGAAATACTTTTATAAAAAGAAAATTAATTTCACTTCCTATTTTTATAGACACTAAGTAATACAATAATAGAACAAGCTTAAGAAACCTAAATTTGTTTTGATTCTGCCACTTACTGCATAAGCATTTAAAACATAGTACCATGGTCAATACTCCAAAACCCATTAAGTTCTAAAGCAAGAGAAAGGTTGTACAAGCAGAGAGAAGGAGCATTCTCTGAGAGATGCAGGCTAGTTATTTTACTACTTCAGTGCACTGCTAGGTATTTGTGATACTGATTAATTATGGAAATAGACAACACTAGAAAGAAATGATAAAGAAATACTGCTCTTTAAGTGTTTAACATTAGAAAAGTTTTTCTGCAATGTATTTACCACAGGAACATTAATCTTTGAGAAGCTCTGCTTTACAAGGGCTCCATAGTCAAGTATTAGAAATACTGCACAAATATTTTTCCACTAATATACAGTATTCAACAATATATTAGCATTTTAAGTTCCAACAATAGTCCCCAAGACTTCAAAAAATCATTTTGAAAATAAAGCATTAAGCAGATGTTATTTGTTCATAAATTCATTTAACAAATAGCTATTGAATACCCTTCACAGGTCAGGCCCTATCCTAAATGCTAGGATTTTAGCAGTAAAAAAACCATACTTCTTACCCTCAGCGAGATACACACTACAGGGATCTTATTAGATATTCAATATGTACGTCTGCCATTAATTATATGTTAAGTAATAAAACTGCCATATAAATGAGGATAAATATCAATACTGAAAGAAACATTGAGAAAAGTAAGGAAGTATCTGAAACAATGTGTTCCAGCACAATGGGTTAGAGGAACTTGCTTATTTTCCAAATATACAGTAATTTAAAGACCAACAGATTATACAAAAATAGTCACAGGCAGGGAATATTTAAAGTAACTGGATATACCAATAATGAAATATGATAGTTATGCCATGCATGTGGCTAATCTGGGAAATAAAACTTGCAAAATCTGTGTATATAATATGATTTCATTTGTTTAAAAAAATTCTCTACATCCCACCCCCTGTAGTACTGGGGATAAAACCTGGGGTTTTTGCACTGAACAACATCTCCAGCCCTTTTTAAAATTTTGAGACATGCTCTTGCTAAAATACCCAGGTGGGAATTCAATATTCAATCCTTCTGCCCAGAGTGCTGGTATTACCAGAATGAAGCACTACTCTATCTGGCTGCAGTCTTAAATACAAATCTTTTTATATGTATATGCAGGTAGAAATTTTCTAAAAAGTCAAAGGATTTAATAGTAGTTTGCTCTCTCTGAGAAAATAGAACTGATGATCTGGGAACTTTTTTACCTTTATGTATTAATTGTTTTTTTTTAAAACAAGGCCATATTTTTAATGAGATGAAGTAAGTTTTAAAAAGTTTTTATTAGTATCTAATTGCAGTACAAAATGATTACATTCATCATGGGGAGTTAGTACATGTACATAACACATCCTCATTCTTTTTCTGTCCCTTACCCTCCCATCCATTCCTCTATGAATTAAATTTTAAGACTAACTGATTATTTTCAGCCAAACAAGAGTTGAAGGGAGGAAGGAATATTATGACTTTTTGAGAATTGAAAAAATTTAACTAGAAAGGACAAAGTATCACTTTGTAGACTAGTAGTTAGGAAAATACTTCAAAATAAGGAGTTTTTGGTAACTGAGTACATGACCTAAAAAAAAAGAAAAAGAAATTCATGGAATTTTCTTCTATAACAACTATACAGTAACACACTGAAAAACAAGATACTTAAATGACACTTACGAGTAAAACAAAAGCAAATGCCCTTGAAAAAAGTGGAATAAGGGAAATTATACTGTGATGTGTATACATACACATCACAGTATAATTTCAAGTATCTCATGTTGCACGTATTAGTTTTTCTGATTAGAAGTATTAAAAACTTTAACTTAAAAAGGAAAATTACCTTTCTTATAAGGTGGTTTTCAGTGTCTGCCACAAATATGATATTATCCATCATGGCTACACCCTGTGGAGAGTTAAAAGCTGACTCCGAAAATAATCCATCTTTTCTTCCAGGATTAGGTCCTAAAAGACAAGAGAGTCATAGGACAAAAATTTTCCATTAAGAAATGATCACATTAAGCAAACAAAAACATTTTTAAGGAATTATATTTAATGCTGAGTTTTCAAAATAAGTAACATTGAACATCTATCTAAAAATTAAAATATTTTCATGGTATATATTTTTCTCAAGAGTGAATTTTGGTAATGACAGGGACAACAATATAAAAGATGTCCATGTTAGTAGTATTTATCAGAAGGAAATAATTTTATTGTCTTTTTAAAATTGTTTTTTGAGACAGGTTTTTGCTGTGACCCTGAACTGATAGTCCAGGCTGGCCTCAAATTCATGACCATCCTCCTGCCTCAGGCCTCCCAAATGCTGGGATTACAGGCATATACCACACCTGGAGTGAAGAACATAATTTTAAAGCATTAGACTAGAAAGTTAAAGTTAAAATTAATCTTTCAGCAATGAAACAATTTTGTATAATTTTTCAAAATTAAATGAAAATAATGCACACATTTGCTAGAAAAATACACATGTTCAAAAATGTTGTAAACAATTTGAAATCCTGACAGTCATCCAAGCATTTCTTGAGTCTAGAATTCGAGGTTAGCTGGGCAGGGTAGCACACACCTGTAATCCCAGCACTTTGGGAGGCTGAGGTAGGAGGATTACAAATTTAAGATCAGAGTAGACCATTTAGCAAGACTTTGTCTCAAAGAAATAGAAAGGACTTGGGATGTAGCTCAATGCAAAGGTTTTGGGATCAATTGCTAATACTATAGAATCTATTAAAAACTAATTATTATAAATTCAAACTACAAGATATTTTTTGAGTAACAATTCTCATAACTGCCTGTCATAAATGAAAATATCAAGTAGCCAAAACAAAACAAATATAAAATACATATTCTAATAAAAACAACAAATAATTCAAGAGGCAAGGGGAATCCTACCTTAGGACATTAAAAATGGCATCATGATTTAGAAATGACTGGCTTGTTTGCACTGGAATTCAGATACCCTGCTTTATGTACAATGCAGCATGTGTTACTAAAGCAGACTGACTACAAAGAGATGAATTACTTTTCTCTTTGACATGTTGTTACCCTAGTGCAGCCTAGATAAGCAGGATTAATAAGAATATACTTAAGTAATTTTATTCTGTATATGTAAACAAGATGCAAGGTCAAGGAGATATGGAACAAAATGATCTATGCTTGTCTGATACTTCTGCTTTGCTACCCTCAAAGTGAATTCACCTAAAAGTATGCTTAAATTTTAGGGAAGAAAGAATGGAATCATAAAATTCGGTACAAATCCTAGCTTATTTATTTTATAATCTAAATGTCAAGTTGCTAAGACATTGTCTTGGTCTTGAAAAAGATATGAATATATTTTGCTGGAAGGCAAAATATAGTATTTCCACCTAAAATGTCAGAAATGCAACATAAGCCAGGCGTGGCAGCGCACTCCTGTAATCCTAAAACTCAGGAGCCTGAGGCAGGAGGATCATTGAAAATTTGAAACCAACCTGGGCTACAAAGTGGCCAAGGCCACGCCTGAATTGCATGATGAGACACTGTCTCAAAAAGACAAAAAAAAAAAAAAAAAAAAAAAGCCAGAAAGAAGAGAAACACAATACATTTTAATTTCATGAGACACATTAACTGGTGAATTTCTGAAACCAAAATGGATATGCAAATATATTTAAGATATGTAACTTGATGATTGCCTCCTTTCAACATAGAGTGTTCTTGGTTTTTGAGGGAGTAAAGTTAGTTCAGATGCCATACATTAAATAACAAAAATATAATTTTATAATGAAGTCAGTGTATGCCACGTATTAGTTATTTATAAATTTTAATTTTCATGTATTTACCTGAACTATTTTACTGTGAAACATAACATATAGCATACTTAAAAACAATCTTTACCTCCAATACTGTACTGAATTTGTCCATTTTCCCAAATAACCAAAATCCTATGATGTCCAGTATCTGCTATTACCAGTCTATTAGTAGCATGGTCTACAGATATTTTGCCAGGAAACAGCAGGGGTGAAGGTGGAAGAGAATCTTTGTAGAGTTTTATTCCAATTTTATTATCTCTGATCTGTCCTCTGTCTTTGTAATACTTTAAAGCTATCGAAGTATACAAAAATAATTTATCTTTGTGTCCTTCTCCAATCAAAGAAAACAGCATGTTTCCACGGGGTCCAAGAATGACCAGTGTTGGCCAGCAGGACACCTCTAGCTCTTGCCAAAGGCTGGCATCTACATCATTAACCACAGGGTGGGTAATATTGTATCGGAGAACAGCACTTGTAATGTTGTCCAGGACTTTTTCATTTGGAAACTTAGCCGAGTGAACACCAACAATCAGAAGGCCATCTGAAAGGGAAATGTATACATATATATTAAGCACGATGAAATATTAAGAAGCATTAGCCACACATTAGGTTTTGTGTCATTAATAAATATAAATGATTAGTAGATTAGAAGTACATTAATGTCTTCAACTACATTTAAACACATGTACAAAAATTAATTTAAATCTCATGACAAATCTCACTTATACATAAAGACATAGTCAAATTGATGTGCTATTGTAGGCTTAAAACTATGTCCTTTTGCTAGATAAAAACCACTGAAAATTAGGTGTTAGTCTAGATACTGAAGTTTTCCTACCTAAAATAAGGTAGGAAATTTCAAGTCCCTTTGAAATTCTGAATGACTATGAATGCTTTTTTTTTTTAGTATTTACTGTCATATTATTTTCCTAAATTTTTTATCTAATCTTACAATTACAGCTTAACTGAATGAATAGAAGCAAGATTTCCCATGATATAAGGTTTTTAATTCATGTGAAATTCCTACTATGCCATTCTTTGAACAAACCTGGTAGACAGAACTGCTAAAAACTAAAGATAAAGTATTTCTTTTACCTAATCAATACATTATTTCAAAATGTTAGTATGGGGGGAAAGAGCATTTAGGCTAGATTCAGACCAAAAGCTCAATACTAAGGTAGAAGACACAATAAATGCAACTTCCCCAACATATCCATCCAAACTACTTAAATTAGCATGAAGAATATAAGACCATGCAAATGAGAGACATTAACTCCCAACAACCCATTACCCTATTATAACTACTAACTCGAAATCAAAACTCAGGCATACACACCATTATCGGGGACAGATCCGGCCCCTAGTCGCCTGGGCGAGGGTGCGACAAGGGTAAAAGAGACTGAGGCAGTCATTTAGAAGGCCAGGGGTCTAGAGGCTCAGAGCTCTTAATCAGCTAAGACTAAGAATCTCTGACTTTTTCTCTCTTTACTGAATGCACAGCTTTTCAGGGAGCGTAAAGCGAGATCCTGGAACAGTGTGTGGAGGGAACCGACGGAAGCCAGGAGGAGTAAGGAGTAAGAGACAAAGCGTGGCTTGATGCCATTGACTGATGGGAAACTTATATTCCCCTTAGGTTAATATTTACTTCTATAGGATTCTGTGCGAGTCTGAATCCCCAGCTGAAATGCTGAGATGTCAGTGTCACAGGTCATAGAGAATCCTACTAAGTCCAGTGGCATACGGAATTTTGTTCCTGCAAGCCAATTGCTAGCTCATCAGGCAAGGCACAAGGTCTGGGACAGACTCACTACAGAAAGTCAATTCATGGATTTGTAGCTTGTTCAGGGTGGGCTTCATCGTATCACAGTTTGAAGACTGACTGAAATAAACACAGCAGATAGACTATAGAGGGGGAAGTTCCCAGTTTTATCCCTTTTGCCCTTTTCTGGTTTTGCTGAGGACAGACCCCCAATTCTGAAGGCATGAAGGTGGCTAAAACTCCAAAAGAAACCCCAAAGAAGCAGAGAAGTTGGAAAGCATGAGACTAATAGAAAAAGCAAAGAAGAATGTGATTCCTCATTTGAGTATGAACACTCCCAAGTCTTGGCTCTACCCCAAAATACAAACATGAGACAGACCTAGTAAAGCATAATAAATGCTTTGGGAACCAAGACCTGAATTACTGAGTTGCAAGGCAAGTTGATGGAAGATGAGGCAGAATTTATAATATGAACTACCAGAGTTGAGTGTCTACTAATACAAAGCTATCAATAATCTCCAGAGGTCTATGACAGAATCTCATCTACGTAACTCCAATGTCCAAAGTATAATCTCAAATTACTTGACACTCAAAAAGCCAGGTTGGCTGGGTATGGTGGTACCTGCCTATGGTATAGTCCCAGCACTTGGGACTCTGAAGCAGGAGGAGGACTGACATAAGTTCAGGGCCAGCCTGAAGTGTAGTCAGACACGGGGGGGGGGGCAAGTAATGTGGCATATTATCAAAGAAAAGCAAAAGCAATAGATTTCAATGCAATAATAAAGTACATGCAATGCCAAACTACATGTTTGCATTAGCAAAGGCTTAAAAGTAATAATAATAACTGCTCCAAACATAAAAGAAAAACATACATAAGGCAGATAAAAAGACAGGAATCAGAGAAACTGAAACTATAAAAATTAACCAAATAAAAATATTTACTTGAAATAAATATACTTATTAAAATAAATTCATTCAAAGGCCAAACAAAAAGTACAGAGGAAAAAGTCAATGAAGATAAAGACAGTATAAGAGAAACAAGCCAACCTGAAAAAATGGAAAGACAGACTGAATTAAAAAGAAAAGAAGCTCAGAGACCTCTGGAACAACTTAAAGATCTAAAGTTTAACTGGAGACAAGAAAGAGATGATGGCAGAATAAATGTGTGAATGGTGCCAAACTTCCAAAAGGTGATTAGAGGCAACAATTTACAGAATTCAAAGTTAGCATACAATAAGTAAGACAGATTGAAGAAAACCATGTGTAGACACATTACAAACAAATTACTGAAAACTGGAGATTAAATAAACACAAAGACATCTTGAAAGCAGCTAGAAGAATTAAAATATAGCTAAGTATGGCTGCCTGAAAACTGGAGGGAGGGATGGTAGGAAGCAGTGAGAAGGTAACAAATTTGTTACCTTTGCAAGTGACTTAACCTATCTGTCATTTTTCTCATTTGTAAAATGGGGAAAATATCAGTAATAGCCTCCAAGGTTAGGAAGATTAAAAGATAATCTGTGTAAGGCACAGAATACTTAAAACATTTAAAATAATCATACAATATATGAATGTATTTAACTGATTTATTAAAAGAAAAAGATGAATACATTCTGTACATGAGATACATCGAAAAGTGGACCCAAAAGGCTAAAAATTACAGGCAAAGGCAAGCAGGCAAATGAACATAAGGACTAAAACACAGGAGATTTCCTCCTGCAGCTTTTCTAAGTCCAGGGTCAGGTGAGCATTCAGCTGCAAAGGATACCACCTTACTCTGCTGGTCACCTCATTTAATAACCTGGAAGCTCACACAGACTCCAGCGTAGGCTTGCAATTCTACTTTCTCTTTGTTCTTCCCTACTCTTTCCTTTTCAACTGCCTGACCTACCACCTTGATGATGAGGCACCAGATACATAACTGACAGCCTCACACCAGACTAGTTAATCAGGTCCACGGATACATACAACATAAAATACCTGTATTAAATTCCGTGTTATTTTTCAGATCTGCGATGCCTCTGCTTCTCAGGTCACACCTACATCCCTCTTTGGTCTTACCTCTGTACGTACATGTGCAAAATCTTCAGCTCTCAATGGGTAGTTTCCCAAGTCACTCTTAGTTGGATGAAGCTCTCCCTCTATTCTGCTCTCCAGAATAGGGCACATATATGCAATATTCTTTGGGTTCTTGGATATTCAAACTGGTTTGTTTTTCAGCCCTGGCTGATGTTTGAAGGACAAATGAATGACTTACACTACTCCTGCAGTCTAAGATTCTTTAGAAATTTCCTGTTTACATCTGTAAACATTGATGAGAGCTAGTACAGAAAACTTTTTTTTTTTTTTTTTTTTTTTTTTTTTTGAGACAGGGTCTCACTATGCAGTTCAGGGTGGTTTTGAGCCCAAGGTGGCCTCAAACTTCCAACTATCCTCCTGCCCCAGCCTCCCAAGTGCTGGGATTACAGGTGTGCACCACTACACCTGGCTGAGAAACGTAGTTTCTTTTTGTTTGTCCTCCAGCTTTCCCTCCCTCTCTGTTCCTTCCAATTTTTAGTCCCCTTTCTCATTTACAAAAGCTCTATTTTCAGGGCCACCTGATTTAGTTCAGCAGGATAAGTGCCTGCCTGGCAAGCTCTAGGTTGTGAGTTCAATCCAGTATCAAAAAACAAGACAAAATGCTCTATTTTCATTTTATTCCTCAATTTTTTCCCATTGCCTTATCCATCCATCCCCCCCCCCTCGTTCTCCATTTGGAAAAGAATTTCCCTATTTCCTATCTTCTATTTTGCACCTCCCATCTCATCTTAGAGAAATTATGCCATATTTAAACTTGTGTGTCTGACTTACTTCACTTACTATTATGGTCTTAATGAGCATCCACTTACCTACGAATGCTCATTTAACTTCCTTTATGGCACAGTAGTATTCTACTGTTCTTCAGTTGTTCCTCGGTTCCTCGGTTGTTGCTTTGCTTTATGTCTGTACATGGTATTTTTGAAAAGTCAGATCTGTCTAAATTATATGCCTTTGCAAGTCAACTTTTTGTTTGGAGATCTTGAGGAATTTTTTTTGTTTTCAGTCTTTCAAGTATAATGGTTTTCCCAGGATATGTCTTGGATTATTACGAATCAATTCTCCCTAGTACGGGTAAGCCCTATCAGTTGTAAACTCAGTGGTTTTCCCATTTCTACTATGTTTTCTTGGAGTCTAATTTTAGATACCAGTTGTAGCCAATTGTTTTGATTTTCTTGATGGTCTCCAAGGAGTCTGATCTTGGACCTTCTCTGCTTGCCTTCCAATTCAATCATTTTCTTTTTTTACCTTTTTTACTTCTTTAGCTCATTTTCATCTTCCAGGGTTTCCCCCCTGCTTCTTCATGTTCATGTTCCTTACATCTTTGCATGAATTTATTGTCCCTTGTGAAACTTTAATTTAGTGTTGAATTCTATGCTAAATGTGAACTTTTTCTTCTATTTCTCTCCTAAGTTTAATCAACATATACTTCCTTACTTTTTTTCAATATCAGTTTTTAAATGTATGATTCAAGTTATTTTTTCATTTTTCCTAAATGCTTTTTGAGGGATTTTAATCCAATATAAAGTTAGGCATAACTATTTTTCAATTCTGTGATTGTTAACGTGTGAATTTTTAATAGCATTTCAACTTTGAATTGCACCAGTTTTGTTTTCTATTCCTCTTCATTTAGTGGACAAGGTTCCACACTTCAAAGTGCTGTTGTGACGATTCCTTTTTTGTGTGTGGTGGTTTTATTTGTGGTT